TTAGTGTAATAGTGAAACTAATTATTTAATCATGAATATTAGTGTATCATCAACACAACTTGAGAAAATACTATATTACAAAAAGTGGCTGATGGGTTTTTTTTAGGGCTGTGCGATATTGAAGAAAAATGCGATATGCGATAACTCATTAAATAATGCGATATTCGATATGCGATACGATAATGTGCCACATGCTCAGATGAAACAGTTTTACTCAGCTGTTGCTGAGTCAGTTCTGTGAACTTCTATAACTATCTTGTGTCATATATATATATATGGTTATTTGTATGTATGTATTTATGTATCAAGAGCTCCTGTAAAACCACAACAAATTCCTTGTGTTTGCGCACACTTAAGTGGTGAATAAAGCTCATTCTGATTCTGTTTTCTAATATAACTAGCATACATGTTTCACTTTTTGTGAGAAGAAAGCACCCCAACAACAACTTCTGAAAGTGAACGGTAGTATTTTACTCTAGCATTACATAAAAATGTCATTTTAACATTTAATCTATGAATTCAATATGCACTGATTCTTACTTAAGCTACAAAAGTTATTTAGGTAAGAGCAGTGAGTGATTTTCTCTTTGTCTTTTGTTCATGGCCCCAAATATTGCAGCAAATTATCAGAACTATTTCAGTAAAACAGTAATATTGTGCTTTACCTGGAAACCTAAAGCTGCACTAGGTATACATCACATATTAGCACAAAAAAAACCTAGATATTTTGAGCACTCAATTGAAAATGTTCACATAACGTATCAATCGTTCTTACAGTTTGTGGTTCGGAGAAGCTTGTTGGTCCAAATAAAAAAAGATTAGAAGCCAACGAAGATAAAAGGCAAGATTAGAGAAGCAGTCCTCGGTAAAATGACGAGCACAACAAAAGGTTCGAATTGTATTGCTGTGGTATCGTGGAACACAGCATCTTCTCGACACAGAGAGTGTTCGTATTTAGTGGGCAGGTGGGGATTATGCTATTGTGTTACCCAGTGACGTAGATCGGTAACAGGCAGAAGATTTGAAAATATAACGACTCGTTAAGGCGATTCTGAGTCGACTCTTTCTTTTGAGAGACAATATCTTTATTTATCATGCACTTTTTTGATTAACAACTTTGCAGACTGTTTACATTGAAGGATAGCTACCTTACAAACTGCAAACGAGATATTTTTCGAAAACCCATATGACCTGCTCTTTAATAAAAAAAAATCATCTTTGTTAGTCAGCTGGATAACAATGTTCAATATGTCATATAAAACCAAATGTTTAAAGGTGACAAAGCAGAACTGGCCCGACAAGGCGAGTGACCGTAGACCGTATAAACCCAAAACACATAGCCCTGGAACTTCCTCACTATGTACAAAATGAAAGCCAATGTAAAGTGTAAAGGTGTTAGTATGAAATTTGAAATCAGCTCTATAACATCAAATCTCACAACCTAATATGATTACATTGCCTTTTCGGTTGAACCAGCATGCCTTAAGCATTTTGTGCTGAATAATAATTTGCCTGTATTTAATAGAGACGTCTGACATAACTGGGTCCCTGTTTTTGAAAAAGGACCTACTGTGGTCTGTTCCTGTTTACAGACCACCTATGACCACAGACAAACGGTAATAAAGACAGTCACAGGCATCACACACACTGATACAAGTGCAATGGTTCAGTGATCTGGGCACACAGACAACATCGCCTGGCAACTAAAGTGGACAAGTATGCTGCTAATGAGACATGAAAAGAGCGCTGTTATAGCCCGGTGGGACAGCAGATGTGTGTGTGTTCCTGCTTTCTTTGTGTGTCTAGTTATTATTTCGGTCGGAAAGTGATTGGAAAACCTTCTAGACAGTAAATGTCAACAAACCTATATTGTTCTATTCATCAAATAATCCTAAAAAAAAAGCCATCATGGTCAAAATGTCAAATCACGGTTTTCACAAACATATTAAGCAGCACAACTGTTTTCAACCATTTTAGTGATAATAGTAAGAAATGTTTTATGTGTCACTGAAGACTGGAGTAATGTCTGCTGAAAATTCAGCATTGGAATCACAGAAATGAATTATATATTTAAAAATATTAAAATAGAAAACAGTTATTTTACAGTGTCCATATTATGCCATTTTAAGGTTCCTAATATTGTTTTGGGAGTCTCCTACAATAGGTTTACATGCATGTAAGGTCAAAAAACAGTTTCGGTTTTTCAAAATATCGATAGAAAATATAAACATCTATTATTTATCATACTTACAGGTTGTGACTGAGTGGAGCCAGCTGGTCTAAATAAACTGGGTACTGAGCCATCTTGCAAGAGCAAACGTTTTGTGAATTATGCATTTAATATCACCTCATTTTCCAACGATTCTCAAACAATTCATTCGAAGCAGTTCTAAGATTCAGTCTCTCTAAACCCCTCCTTTCCGTGAGCCTACTCTGCACTGATTGGTCAGATGGCTTAGTCTGCTGTGATTGGTCTACCGCATACTGCGTGTGTCAGAAACGATACACCCATTGCCATAGTTCCGTGTTTTGAACACTCGATAGAAAATATAAACATCTATTATTTATCATACTTACAGGTTGTGATTCAGTGGAGCCAGCTGGTCCAAATAAACTGTGTACTGAGCCATCTTTCAAGAACAAGAGTAAGCATTTTGTGAAAGCGTTTTGTGAATGTCGTGTTGAACTCACCGAGATTAGAGAAGCAGTTGTAAGTAAAATGAAGGGAACACAAAAAAAGATTGGGGTTATACTGCAGTGAATTTTACCCACTTATTCTTTGTGGCCTCATTTTTCGTAAGTGAAAATAAAATAAATTTACTTTCAGAGCGTAGGACACAGTGTCTTCTCGACATGATGTTAACTACATGAAGCTACAGTGGGGGGGGGGGGG